GAAACTGATGTAACCTATTTTCTCAGTCAAGTCCTTCTGCAGTTTTTCAAACACTGTCTTCTTGGGCTGTGATTTTTGAGTAGAAAGTAAATTATTTGTTGACACTATCTGGCAGGAAGCCTCCTTTGAGTATCTGCAAAATGAGGGAGAGCGATTGCTTTTGGAAGCCATGGATGAGCTGGAGGTGGCGTTTAATAATACCAACGTGCGCACCGACTGCAATCACATCTTCTTAAATTTCGTGCCTACCGTCATCATGGACCCATCTAAGGTATGATCTCTTCCCTAGTTCTGAACTGTGTGGGCTTTTTTGGGCTTGACTCACCAGAATTAAATGGTCTTTTCTTGCCTTTTTATGCTATGTAAGTGCACCTATTGATTGATGACATTTTAATACCATTTGGTGAATTGACAGGCAGTTTCTACCACCCATTTCATAACAGAAAGCACAAGAAATCGGGGACCAGTACTAGAAGTGGTAACATGAGGCACAGTTTAGTTACTCTACAAATACTGGAGTTTTGCTTTTCTGTAAAGAAAGTGGAGTCCTGTAACCGATGGACGTCTCTAACTGAAGATTGCTTCTTGAACTGCTAAGCCAACTCCTCTTCAAAAGCAGAGACAATAGTTTTTATTTTAGCTAGTTAGAGGCAAGCAATTAGTTGTTTCACATTAGGAACCTGTTTGACAGTGAGGAAGGAAGAAAGCTTTGGTTTTTCTTCCAATCTGTGAATAGATATTAAATGTTAGATTTCAGAACTAGCAGAGCTCTTGTTTTTAGCGGAGTAATGCTGTCCTTCAAGCAATACAGCTCACTTCCTCTGTGTAAACTAAGGACCAGTTTATTACATATATGTTTTGTGTTTGAAACAAAACTTATTTCATTGTGTGTTTGAGATAAACAATTTTAATAAGGCAATAACTTTAAATGCTCTTCTGTTTGTTACAGAAGTCTAAATTCTATCCAGATAAATCGTGAGATAAATCATAAACTTAAAAAGAAATGGTAAATTCAGCTACAAAAAGAAGTGCCTTATTTTCATTCTCTGATACAAAACCACAGAGATCACCATTATAAATAAATGAACATTAATTTTTGTAGATGCATAAATGAAAGTGTTCAGGCATAAAGCATGTTTCTGGTTAGCAGAACCACCACAAAGAAAGTCCCAAATAAACTGTAAAGGCTGCATTTAGTTAGAAATCAACATTCTGTTCATGGTTACTGAAAGATGAGAGCTGACCTTTCCTTATGAGAATAACTGAAAGTTTAAAAAGATGAATTGGTTATCAAAATAAGTATCTCTTGCTTGCTGACTTTTAAATCATGATTAAAAATTGGTGGCTTAAATCACTTTTGAATAAATCCTCTCTTGGTGCATCTAAAATCCTTAGTTCCCAGGAAGTTGGGAAGCAGCTGGGATATTCAGCCCCTGGAAGTTAGGCTGCCCACAGATGTGTACCGTGACTTTACCCTGAGCTGCTGTGGAAAAGAGACTGTTTATTTTTTGAAAGCATGTTAAAAACAGCCTATAAATTGCCTTCTTTTAATATGCACTATTTATTTGCTAACAGTAGTATATTCTAAAGTTTAATGGAACACCAGAAGGCCAAGCTCCAAGTAGTAATTGCTTTGTTGATTTAAAGCACCGTACCGCACGTGCGGTGACACACAAGTATGGTGTGTGGAAGTGCTTCGTTACTGTTTGTCAGGGGCTTCACTCCCCTGCATTTCGTAGTTCTTAGCTGCGAGCTGTGCCTGCAGGAGCAAAGGTAGAGGAAGGGGAAGCTGTGGGCACCCTGTGCTTGGCTGGGGTGTGATGTGCCGTGAGGAAAAAGCAGCGTGAATCCAGCACCGTCGCTCTACCTCAGGTGTCCCCAGGTTGAGTTCAGTTCCTGCCTGTCCCAGGGCTCGTTAGGATGAGAACACATGGGCCACTGTGGTCCCATAACAGCACTGGGCACGTGCTGCTGTTTGGTGCTTCCATCTCTTCTCTTCTGTGATGTTCCCCCGGCACGCTGGGGTGCCCCTTTGAGCAGGACCTTAGAGCAGCGGGATGGAGGGCTGACAGAGCGTTTCCCAAAGGTGAGGGAAGTTCTTATTGTGTGTTTTAAGATCGAAGAATCCGTGCGGAGCATGGTGATGCGCTACGGGAGCCGCCTCTGGAAACTCCGTGTCCTCCAAGCTGAGCTGAAGATCAACATTCGTTTGACACCAACTGGGAAGGCAATTCCCATTCGTCTCTTCTTGACCAATGAGTCTGGCTACTATTTGGACATCAGCCTCTACAAAGAGGTGACAGACTCCAGAACAGGACAGGTATGGTTCTGTGTGGCTCCATGGTTTGATGAGCAAATTATTTGGGGGGGACACATTATACCTGATGGAGCTGGGGAGGAACAGTTCACAAGGGCAGGTAGCAATAGGATGAGGGGTGATGGTTTTAAACTAGAAAAGGGTTAATTTAGGTTGGATCTTAGGAAAAAGTTCTTCAATATGGGGGTGGTGGATCATTGGAACAAGTTGCCCAGAGAGATGGCCCATCCCTGGAGATATTCAGGGTCAGGCTTGATGGGGCTCTGAGCAGCCTGCTCTAGTGAGGATGTCCCTGCTCACTGCAGGGGGGTTGGACTAGATGACCTCTGAAGATCCCTTCCAACCCAAACCATTGGATGATTCTAAGCTCTTCTGTGGTTTTCAGTGTTTTCAGGTAATATAAAATTGCCATTCAACTTTGCCAAGGGAAGAAGAATGTAAAGATAATCTTGCAGGAGGTGTGTAGATGTGCAAAATGTAATCAGTGATGTAGAAACCCCTGTCTTCTGATTATTTTGTATGTACCTTCAGTCATTTGTCCATCTGTTTCCCTCTGTGTCAGAGTGCTCAGAAAGTGATAGGAAAGTAATGACTGTTGGTGCTCATCCTGTAGGTCGTAATAAAAAAATATTATTAATTATACGTTTCCCTGAGTAGATAGAGAAGATCTGTGAACTTGTCTTTGAAATTCTAAAGATATAGGGAATAACCTGGGTAGCATGATATAAAATTATTGAAGGTGCTTTTATATCATTTTTATGAAGCATAATGGGCTCTTTTGTAATGGTTGTGGCTATTCTGGCATTTCTGCTTCTCATGGCCTAGGAATAGTGTGGTTAACTGAGACACCTACATGTGCTAAAATACATGGAGCGCGGGGTGCGTGAAAAATATTGAAGTACAGAAATGTTTACATCTCCCTCTGTAATAATCTCTCTGCCAGGCAGCAGGAGCAGCAGAATAAATCACTTGGGCACCGTTAATGTTGAACACAAAGTGCTGAGTCACCTTTTCTCCCCTCTTCTCTATTTCCATTTTTCCAGCAAGCTGCCTGGCCGTGTAGTCCATCCAGTTCTGGAGATCTTAGAACAGATAGTGTCTGTGTGTTTTATGTAATTTCTGCCTTAAAGCAGAGATGGGGAAAGAAAATAACATTTTAATAATCTCCAGTAGCTGAGCTAACACTTGAGTTTTGTTAGTCATTTGTGAAGGTCACCTTTCCTCTTAAACTCTGTCTCTGATGACCTTTATTGTTTTAAAGCTATTGTTCCCCCCCCCCCCCCCCCCCCCCCCCCAGGGATATTAGACCAGGTTCTATTAGAAAACTATACTGATAGGAATTATTTCAATTAACTCTTTGAGTAGCTGGCAGGAGAGTTTGTCTCACAAAGCTTGAAAGTGTTAGTTTTGTAAGAAACTTTGGTAAATCTTCCCCCTTGTGATGGAGGTTTATAGGATGGGTTCAGATCTGTGTATTTTTCCTGTGTTTTCAGGGGGTTATTTTGAAGGTAGAGAATTCTGTTAAAATAATTCAAACGTTACTGATGTACTGGGTGCTGGGCACTTTCATGACTTCTGAAGAATGGAAAAATAGATTTGTGACGAGAGAATGACCCTGATCTCTTGTTTCACACAGTACTGACTTCTCCAGTCCCCACAGAACAGCTCAGAAGCTTTCCAGAGATTTCAGGAGAGTTGGGCCTCAAGTGCAGTAACAGATCCTAACACAGGCACTGTCACAAATACTTATTGCCCTCAATAAATCCCTCTCCCATTGAGGAAGCTATTTCACAAAGCAACATTTGTGAAGACTGAAGAGAACATGAACTACTGTTTTTAATCTAAAAACTAAAATAGGCTTTACTTACTGGATTTTATCTTTAGTGGAATTCTTTGATTGAATCACCTTCAATTAGAAAAAGATCTGCAGTTTGTCACATCAGATCTGATCAAAAAAGCCTAATCGTGTTCTTCTGTCAGGGATGCTTCTATTAAGCAGCGCTGGTGCAGTGTTGTCCCAGTTACACGCTGCTCCTCGTGTTTCTTAGTTGAAATAGATTTCCTTCCGAGTCCTGGCTGAGTGGAATATATAGTGCCATGAAGCATGGCAGCTGATAATTCATGTTGCTACTCTGGGAAAATCTTTTAAACTTATAATATCAAAACTTCAAGCCAAATGACATATGCAAGTCTTGACCTAGCTTCCATGATCAGTCAGTGGAGATACGGATACTGTGCTGTTCGACTACATAAATAACAGAGTTCTCCTCTCTGCTCCCAGCTATCACAATCCATCGGCGTAGATACGGTGTCAGGGGAAATGCTGGTGAATGTGAAGTCATCTAAGTCACAGGCTTTTTTTTTTTTTTCTGTGGGGATGTGGCTCTGTTCACTTTACTTTCTGCTGTGATATGGTAATAAGTCAGTGATACTCAGATTTGTGCAGTAATGGTCCAGCGCTGTCTCCGAAGGGCAGTAATGCATGATGAAGCGCTGTGTTACAGGATATGCGAGTATTCACATGTTTGTAGAGAACAGAAACAAGCCTGATCAGTCTGGAGTAGCCTGATGGTTTTTTGTGAAATCTGGATGAGACAGGTGTGTGGAACGAGTGGATCAGCCTGTAATTGCTCATGTTTTGTGCTGCAGATCATGTTCCAGGCATACGGGGATAAACAGGGACCGCTTCATGGGATGCTGATCAACACCCCGTATGTGACCAAAGACCTGCTTCAGTCCAAGAGATTCCAGGCACAATCTTTAGGGACATCATATGTCTATGACATTCCTGAGATGTTTCGGCAGGTAAGTGTTCTTCAGGCCTGGTGGTTTGTTCTAAACTTTGTACCTGCAAAGCCCTTCTGTCAATTGCCATTTTTTGCTTGTCAGGGAGAATCGAGTGGCCTGGAGGGGCTGACAGTGGTCCCCCAGGGTCTGACAGCTGCAGGTTCAGTCTACTTGGCAAGAAATTAGGAGTCCTGATACACCACTGCTGTGGTCCTGTTAATAAGTCAGACAGTAGATGCTGAAATGTAAAACATCTTGTGCTTCTTGTTTATGTTTCTTGGTTTTTCCACTGTTATCCAGCCTTCCTGGAGGGCTGGACAGTGCAGGAGTGATAGTTCCTAGGATAGGACTCACACATCATTAAATGTGTTAACGAGTTGCAGAATTGATTGTATATCTGATTTGCTGATTCTGTCCTAAATCACATCATTTCAGTTGTGCTACTTTGGGTGAAATTGTGTGTCATGGTTTAAGTTCCAGAGTAAGTGATATCCACTGAATATCGTCAGTCACACTGGGAGGAGGGATACTTCAGCGTTCTCTCTTGAATATTAAGACACGGTGGATTGAATAAAAATATTTGCAGAAGATATTCCTCACAAGAATTTATCTCTTCATCCTCTAGTCTTTGATTAAACTCTGGGACTCTATGAATGAATATGCATTAGCCCCGCCGCTGCCTTCTGACATCCTAACGTACACTGAATTGGTGCTGGATGATCAGGGCCAACTCGTGCACATGAACAGGCTGCCGGGAGGAAATGAGGCAAGTTACACTTTCTTTAATGCTACTTCTCTTTCCATGTCCTGCAGTACATTGTGTTTTGGACTAGGTTTGACAATTGTAATGAAAATTTACCAGCCAGGCACAAAATCTATTCATTCAGTCTTTCACAGATGAAATCTCTCTCTTGAAAATGAGATTTTTTTGTTTCATTAAAAATTAATACCTTCCATACAATGGGTATTTTAACCTCCATAGTAAATGATGATTCCGTTTCAAACCTGTGCCTGTGCCATTTTTCCCTTCGTAATTAAAAAGTGCTCTTTCAGCTATTCCAGGTAACTGGGGTTTGTATTTGAGCAAAATATGTTTTACAAGACTAAATAGAAATGTTTTCATTTGCTTAAAAAATGAAAAAAACAATTTTATACTCTGCATTTAAATACTTGCCACGCAGTGTTGGTGTAGCACACTGGCAAGGTGTGTGCAACATCCCCCTCTAGTGAATGATTTACTGGAGACTAACAACCTGCTCATGCTGGTGGGATGACAGAGTGACTCCTTCCACTCAGGCAGGAGGAGGCTCCACTGTCGTGGTCGCCTTTTGCTGGCGTGTGGTTCCATCAGCAAGCCAAAGATCACAGCATTGAAATGACTGGAGAATAAAGTTAACTAGCAGATGAGTTTATTTCCTTTGCCTAGGCTAGGTGGGATTCAGTAAGTGAATGTTCCTCCTACAGTAATTTAAATTGGAGCAGTTCTAAGTGATGGCATCATTTATTTTTTTGTTGGCATCATTGAACAAGCACCATCCTTTTACTAGATGTGTAACTTAAGATTTGCAAAAGCTCTGTACAAAAACCTCAGGTGTAGTGATGAGAGAAAATGGGTTTTCATCACTATTTACTGCGTGTGTCTTGTCAGGGGAAGGGTTTGAATCTGATGTTTTCAAATTGAACCTAAAATCAGTAATTGGTGACTAGGGGAGCACTACGTCCTTGGCTTTTGCTGGCCTATGGGAGAAATGTTTTAACTAGTGTAATTAAACCTGGAATGAGGCATTCCTTGCACTGCTAGTGAGAGCTGAGGCTGCGGTGCTGTGGAGGCTGATGCCATCATCTTTCTCTCTTTCTCTGCTCTCATTCAGCGTTTGAGTGGATGGTGGCTGGGGAAATAGCAAAGTCCCTGAGGGACGCAGCTCTGTTCTTGCTGAAATTACAGGCACAGAGCTGCCTGGGCATGAACATGTAGTGTTTACTCTGCCAGTATGAATACAAATAGTCTTATTATAAGAGATTCTGTACCCAAAGACCACCAAAAAAAATTAGGAGTTTTTTTAACCCTTAGTAGACTTAGTGGTGCTCAATCTGAAAGGAAATTGCACGGCCCTTGCGGCCCTTGCATTGTGCGTGGTGTTGTTATCTAACACACAGATCTGTGGCTGCTACGCCGAGGGGCTGCCTCACTGGAGACTGGGATAAACAAGGGGAAAATGGGCCTCCCACATTCTTCAGTCTGGCTGCTGAAGATTGCTTCTTGTGGAGGTATATGGCAGACTCTAACCTGCTTCTTAATGACTTCCCAGAAATGAGGTGAGGGCCCTGGTTGCAGGGGTGAAATCCCAGCCCAGGGTTCAGTGTCTTGGGGAAGCTGAGCAAGTGTTCAGAGCGAGGAAATGCTCTGAGGGCTCTCAGCCCAGCCTGTCTGCAGCTGGACCAGTCGCTGTAGGACCATGTGCAGCTGGAATGAGGTTTGAGGCTTTGGTATTGAATTCTGTTACCAATAGCTGCTGCACACAATAGTGCTCATTCACAGGTGGGAGCGGACAATCTGGGGAGGAGGTTCCAGCAGCAGTCTGAAGGACAGGTGACATTCAGGAGGTGACGAGCTGCCGAGCAGATTCTTTCCTCCGTGCTGCACTTCCTTTATCTGGATGAGCTGACTTTAGGCTTTTATGGTTTAATTCTGTTCAGCTGAGGAAACAAATTTTCACAAACGCGCGTTCAAGTTTCTCTTTCCAAAGAAGGTGGCTGCAGGGGTGGAGAAGGGAGAGACAGGATGCTAGATAAATTCAGAGCATAAGCCTTTTCTTTGTTAAAGCTCTAAGTGGATCCATTCTGCTTTTTTTTGAGAAGCAGTCTGCATAGCATCTGGGCAGAGAAATACAGCATCTTATCTGCCAGGAAGCAAAGATCCTTGGGGTAATCCATCTATGTGGCAGTATTGCATAGGAAGAGGAGACATGCCACAAGGGACAGGAGGAAATATTAATTGGTTCTGCACTTCTTCCATGTGATACAGTGGTGAACTATTCTCAAAATATGGCACATTTCCTTGGCTCTCTAAACTTGCCTGAATTTGTTAAGGAAGAGTTTTGCCCTCAGATGGATGTATTTCACTTCAAAATGCCAGAAGCCCATATACACTGAAAATCACATTAAAGGGGAGATGGTCCCTAGAGAAATGAGTGCAGGGGGAAGTCGAGGCTCCCAAGCTTTGCAGGGGCTTGCTTCCTAGCTTTAGTGAGAGTTTTCACTGCCTCAGTTTGTTCATACCCTAGTCAGCTGGGACTGCTTTGGGGTGTTAGGAGGATAATTTAGACAAATATGTTTTAAGAGTCTTGTACTTGCTAAATAAGTGCTGGCTATTATGTTGCACAGCATTCCCCAAGTTTTGGTTAGTAACCCTTGATGGTTGGTGCCAATGGAGTCAGTGCCCCAGAGATCCAGAGGCGTGAGGTGTTTCCAGTTCAGACCCCAGTGAGCTGACAGGCAGGAGTGCTTGGGAGGAATTTTCCAAGTAAATGTGATTATTTTTTTTTTTCCCCTCTTTCCTTCCCAGTGGAAGTTGCTGATTTTCTGAATCCAGAGTCTTTTGAGAGATTGTACATCATGTGTTTTTTACCAAAGAGGAAACTCCTGTTGAAACATTCTGACTGTGGTGAATGTAGCTGCTGTTTAGTGCATTAGGTTCCTGTTACTGTTCGACTTGTTTTAGATCAGAGGCTCAAACACAGCTATTCCCCCATTGCAAGTGAGCCCCTTGCCATCGTGGTACCAGCTCTTCTGAGAGTAGGGCTTGTCAGGAAACTGTTGGAGCTGTGCTACACAGTATGAACAATTACATTTTCTCTATGTGAAAAGGGGTCAAGACACTCTTCCTCTGAAAGCGTTCAGCTGAGCTGAGCACCCTCATTGTTTTAGTGAGCAGGAGAAACTGAGGAACCAGCATCCAATCCAGGAGATCTGTGGTCGGTGTGTTCAGCTGGGTGTCAGCAACTGGAGTTGCAATCCCTGCTCTGATACGGGGCAGAGCAGGAGCACCAAGCTGAGTTTCTCCTCTCCTCTCAGAGTTTGCCAGCAGTGTTCTGGGCTAACCTGCCTATGTTTTCAGGAAAATCTGTGAAATGGGAATTCTCAAGAACTTTCACAATACAAGAGGTTTTCTCTACTTAGCTTACGACCACTTCACGTCACCCACCACCTCATTTGGCAGTAATTATCTCTTTGCTAGTAATCTCAACAAAGAAGCCAAGGACTTAATGGACCATGAAAGTACAACTTGGTATTTATTCCCAGGCAGTGCTTGCTCCTTCTGAGCGGAGGGTCCTCTGCCTTGTCACGGCCACGCGAGGGAGCTTGCGGTGCTGCTGGCCCTGCCACCGGCTCTGCCAGCACCGCAGACATTGCTCAGGTAGGGCCTTTTTCCAGCCTCTTGTCCACTGGGTGCAGCCACGGTTCTTCCTGAAGCACATCTGCTGTTCCTTTGGACTGCAGGCAGAATCCTGGATGTTGCCTGGAGCTTTCTGCTGGATGGTTTTTGTTCCAGCTCCTTCATGTTAAGCTTGTGAACTGTGTCCTGGTCCCTAGTTACTTTTTGGGGAGGGTTTTTTAGGGATTTTTTAGGGTTTCTTTAGTTTTTCAGGTTTGTGTGTGTGTGTCCTATATTACTAGTGTGGCTGCTTTGCCACCTCTGCTCACATGTGAGGCTGTTCTGATAAGCCCTCTCTGCTACCATAGGATTTCAGTAACCCAACACACTTGACAAGACTGAATAACTAAACACTAAAAAGTTGAGAACAGTTTGTAAATCATTCCCAGAGCCAGCAGGTGTAGAAGGGAGCTGAAGAAGACAGTGTTTGTCAGCAGGATCAAACACCCACCCATAGCTCCCTTCTAATGCTCCTCAGTGAAGAATGAACAGACTTTGGGACAAATGGGGTGTAATTTATTGTACAGCTGTGAGCATATCAAGAACTAAGCACCAGGGGTGGGTGCTCAGCCTGGCTCCAGTCTGACTCTTTTAAGATAGACACGGGCCATTGACACGCACAGAGTTTATATAGGTGGGAGGAAAAAAAAAACAACACTTGTAGTGGTTTCTAATTTTATGCATTTTATTCTAAAATGTCTTTAAGAAGAAAATTTAAAGTTCATACCACAGCCTGAATGCTTATCTAGATTCTAACACAAGACTTGTAACATTTCTGCTATTGTATTTTTTTTTTAATAAGTGGAAGCTGTTTTTTTTTAGTGGCACAATCTTTAGTGTTTCTGGCTAAGATCATCATTGAGCTTGTGGGGTAGAGGTGTGTGACTGGGGCTTTCTGTGCTAATATTGGGAGGGATGGGTTTGAAAGGACGCAGCACCTCGCCCTGTTGGGCAGTGTAAGAGGAGCTGATGGCTGTCCTCTGAGAGCCTTTTGCCCTGGCAGCTCCTCTGGTGTTGCTCTGTAGTTCTGTGGCTGTACTAAAATGAGGAAGCTTCTGAAAGAGTCAGAAATCCTGTGAACACAGACGAGTGACCTGGGCTCGAGTTCAGCAGCGTATGGCAACTCCCACAGTATTTGAGAAGGTGTTGGTTGCAGGAGCTCTGCTGAAGACACGACCTGTGATGTAGTGACACCCTCTTCAAATGCCCGTTGAAGCCGGCTTTGTTCTGGAGGTTCGCGTATTAGCTGAAATCTCAGTGTGAAGAGGTAATTCCCTCAGCCTGTTGGGGAACTCATTATATTCCTTGTCATTCCTGAGCTGGGCATTCTG